AACTGTAAGGTGCCGATTGGGGAGGTGGACTTTTCCTTCTGGTAGAGACAGCCTTGGGGACTGTCTAAAATGGCGGCAAAGGGACGTTTACCGCGATCAACATGCAACGCGGAAATGGTGGTTCGTGTGGTAGAGAATCAACTGGCAGGTTTATCGGGTCGGCGCCCTCAGTGTTGTGAGACCAAGCCGCCGGGGATCAGCTAATTTAAATGCCGGCGGCGTGAGGCGGGCGCGGCGGCTGGACAGGTGCATGTGTTGGTGTGTGTGCGTGTGTGTGTATTTGCGCTTGGGCCGCGTTCAGCTGATCCCGTTTGACACACGAGCACGATCGTTGGCGCCAATCAAAAGCCCGCTCAGCTGGCCACGCCCCATACTAACACCCTGTCAGCCCGCAGCTGACTGCAAGCAGCACCCTTCACTGAAAAAAAACCTTGCTTGTACTAGTGGGTGTCGGGTCGGCTACAACAAACAAGATGTGTTCGAAAAACATTGTTAGGTGTAGTTTTACGGAAAAATGTTACAAACTCAAATCGAAATACGAGGAAATTTTCGAACGCTACTCTTGGAACCAAAGTGTGTACTTGAGTGCAGTACCTCTTGCATACCTACATGTAGAAGGTACTGTGTACTTAGCATATATGTATGAGTATGCAGGAGATAGTGTGTACTTGGTCAAGCACACACTAAAACCTTCATACATTTATGGACGGGAGGAAATTTAGTGTGTACTACGTCAAATCCACACTACCTTATGCATACTTGCTAAGTACACAGTACCTCCTGCAAACAATGTAGGTATGCAGGTGGTACTGCATTCAATTACACAGTACACACTTAAGTTTCCAGAGTAGATTATCATAATTTTAAACATAGATCAAGGACTGGCTGTTGTAAATTTACGAGCGTAATCGTGTACATAAATCGTAATTTATGTAGATCTCCGTGGCGTAAATTACCAAATTCATCATACAGTTTCATCAAACGTGCGTAGTGCGCGTTGAAGCCTCTGGCCGCCGTGCCGGGCGGGACTGGGCGCGCGCACTATACCATGATGAGGTGATAAGCCTCGCCCCTCCTCCCCGGGTGCCGCCGGCCCAGTCCAGTCCCGGACAACTGTGTCAAGAAGTTCTAATTTCTGTCTTCCGCGCCACCGTGCCGTCGCCCCGCCACGCCGCGCGGGACAGGGCCGTGGACCCCGCAAACTTTGCGAACACGATGCCATCCCTCCCCCCGCGCCCCCTCCCTTGCCCGCTTTGTCTTGAGGGGCGGCCTCATCAACACCTCCAGCGGACCAATAACTCCTTCCACCCTTTTTGCCCCCCCCCCCCCGCACCTCCTTCCCCCCTCTCATCTGTACTTTCCTCTCCACACCCCGCCATCCGCGCCCTTCAACCTTCCCCTTCTCCCTCCCGCCTTAGCTCGTTCATCCCTTCAGTCCCGCCTTGCGCATGTAACTAAAAGGCAGGTTGGGTCGGAGCCGAGTTCTCTCTCTCTCTCTCTCTCTCTCCGCTCCTCCTTCTCTCTCTCTCCCCTCTCGCTCTTCTCTCTCACTCCCGATGCGATGAGTGGCGGTGCGGTGGCCCCTCCGCAGCGCCCTGTTCACGTCTCCGTTGGTCGGTGTAACTAACACGGGGGCGGGTCTTGTGTCGGCATTATGCGAGATGTACCTGTCCTTACTGAATCAGGCGCAGGACCGAAGATGCACTGCAAAAAAGGGGTGCAGCCGAATAGAATAATCTTACCATACATAACTCTGCGCTTTTGTAAAAAGTTAAACTGTAAATTTCGCTTTTCCCTCAAATATTTCTACAGTTATAGAAAAGTTAGTTACTCGGAGAATAAATAAAGTTTACTTGATTCATGAACTGTTGAAACCTTGTGAAGGAAAATTAGAAAAGCTTTGCAATAACAAATAAGCAAATACTTTGTTGGCTTGCGATGCATTGGGCTGCTTCTTGATTTGTAATCGAAACTATCGATTTGTAGTGCGAAGTAGCCAAATCCTTCGAACAAAAAGGCATCTTATTTTCCAAATTTTGTAACAGAGTGGGATTCTCGAAGAAACTTATCTTCAACAGTTTTATACACTCCAATTTTTTTGCGAACACTACGCGTCGATCGATCGAATACCCAGCACTGGCCAGAGACCAGCAGATACTCATCAAATATAGATGACGTTTTAACTATTTTTTTAAAGTAAAATCGCTGTGCATTGTGCCGCGTTCGACAGTTGCAATAATAGTATATCTGCAATACGTCTTGTCGGTCGTTGTGAATTCGGCAGGAAGCGCCCGTGGCTTCTCTACATCGTTTATTTCGTTTTTTCACCCCTTTGCATCTCTCCAGCGCATGTCTCCTTCTTGACGAGCCGCCGGGAGCGTCGCCATGCACCTGACGGGCCCCGGCTGCTGCGCGTCGCCTCGTCCCCGGACCCCTGCCCCCTTCTCTCTTTCCATACTTGAGCTTTTCATTGAGATGTATGGGCGCAAAGCAGTGACAGTCATAACAGTAATGTGTGAGGCATACCAAGTGGAAACAAGTTGGTGCCGAGATGATTTATCGGCCGCGGCTGGGAGGCGGGCTGGAGGAGGCGGCCCAGTCGCGCCTGGAGGGAAAGTTCTCCAGTCCGTCGGAGGCGACGACACATTCATCCTCATTGTGAAGTACCGCGTCTCCTTGTCCTCCCTGTCCTCGGTTTAATGCGATCTGTGCGTAGTACCTTCCCTCCTTCCTTCTGCCTGTCGGTCCGTCTGTCTGTCCGTCTATGTCTGGTACACATGTTTGGCCTACGTTCCCGTAGCGTGTATGGGCTGCGTTATATGCGTCTTGAATAAAACTTTTTATTCCGTTTATCACTGTCTGACTCGTTAAAACGGCCCAACAAAAACGCGGCGCCATGAGCAGTCGGGAATGCACCGGCCGAACAAAAGGCGTAAACCGGATATATACGCCTTTAAAGTGGACGCGTAACTTTTTTAGCGCATCTCAAAAAAGGGACATAGAGGCAGACAGCATTGGATAAAACGAAAATCAACTCGCCAGTCTGGGCGTGCAAAATAAAATACGATGGGCATGTTCTCCAGTTATTTGTCCGTGCTTTGAGATAGTGTCGATAGTCTGATAGCACGTCGCGCGAGGGGTGCCAAACTGAAATAATAAGGTGCATACCGGAGTACTGTTGTGCAATCCACTCGCTCGTTTAGTAACACGGTTTGCACAATTATATTTTTTTTCGATTCTTTGGGCACTTCTTTAGCCTTGGCCAACGGTTTGGTGGGAACCAATAATAATAAAAATCTTTCTGTTAAAACTGCGCGTGTTTCGTAGAGTAGGGGCGGAACTGCGACATCGTATAATAGTATTTTTCTCGTTTCCGTGCGTCGCTGTGACCACAATGAATTTCTCCGCAAAAGAATGTTGACACCTCTTGTTGTCCTGGCCGCTGGCTGGACTCGACAGTCGCTCACAATGGGAGGCCCGGCTGGGCTGGACCCGCCTGCCCTGGACCTGGCCGCCCCTCAACCAACCGCACTGGAACATCAAGATTTACGCTTTCTTCCCCCATCCCCCCCTCTTCTCTAAAGGGGCCGCTCCGGGGGGCCGGTGGCGGCTGTCCGACGGACGGCGACGTGACAAACTGGGACGGGCCGCCGTTACGTGACAACGGCTGGAGGCTCGCAGGACCCGCCAGGACCTCTCCAGCAGAAGCAGGGGTCTGGGGACAGGCCCGTCCACCAGGGCGCGCCACCAAACTCCTTAAGTGAATTGGCTTGCGGCATGCGTGGAGAGGGGTGGGGGGTGGCAGAGGGACCCCCGGGGGAAGGACCGGCTCGTCTTGGTCAACGCGTTTTGATCGCATGGGGGGCGTGACAAGCCCAGCGCGGGCGGGCGGACGGACGGGTGAGCGCGTAAGTGCGCGCGTACGTGCGCGCGTGCGACCGACCGTCCGTACGTACGTGCGTGCGCGCGTGCGCGAAACGGAGGACGTGCGCGGGGGGGGGGGGGGGGCAAAGCCCGCACACGCTCGCTGATCGGCTGCGACGCAGCGGAAGCTGTACACGCCCGCTGCGACGCAGCGGAAGCTGTACACGCCCGCAATTCACGAAACATGTCATCTTGCCGGAATGGGTGGTCGTTGAGAAAGAGCGAGGAAACTCGCGTGTGGGAGCACTGTGTGTGCGCGCGCGCGTGCGTGCGTTTGTGTGTGTGCGTGTGTGTGTGTGTGTGCGTGCGTGTGTGTGTGTGTTTGTGCGTGAATCGACCGCGAGATGCATGATCAATTTGAGCCACCGCCATTACTTTTGTGTGGAGGGAAGACAGGTGTTTCTTATCATGGGCGACGTTGGAACGGAGACGCTTTTTCCTCTTAAGCGTCAGAGATGAAGCCTGTCTCACTCAATAAGTCGCGGAACGTCGTGAGTTGTTCTTCTATTTCTTCGTTTGCCCGCCCCCAACCCCACCTCTCTCTCAATCCCTCCGGAACGGCTCAGACTTTACATAAGGAACCGCACCTCTGCCGGTTGTGATTGCCGGGGGAGGCTGCCGAGCGCTGCCAAGGCGGCCGGCCTCGGGCTGTCAAGCGCTGCCAAGCGCTCTGCTGCCAAGGCTCCGCCGCCCGCCCCTTTAAAGCGCTTACAAGGAAAGCTTTTGCCACTCGAAAACACTCATTTTAAAAGCGGGGGCGCCGCCATCGCGGCTCCGCCGAAGTGCTTCGAGTCAAACCGCGCGTCGTGGAGCGGCGCGGGGGGAAGTGAATCCAGGAAAAAGAGACGGGAGGGGGGGGGGAGGCTTACTGAGAGATGTGACCGAGTCGGCCTACAAGGGCTCGGCTGGGCCGGGCTGTGCCGAGCGGTGCCGGGGAGCAGGGCACTTTGGCGAGAGCGAAAGGAAAATGGACCCCCGACAACAAGAAGTCCCTAAGTCCCCTTCGCCTTTACTCACTGCTCGGGCGCGCCGCCCACCGACCGAAATTAAACCGAAATGAAATGTGTTTTTCGCAGGTTCTCGAGGCGCGGACGCGCCCTACCCGGTGGTCGTCTTCATCCACGGCGAGTCGTACGAGTGGAACGCGGGCTCGCCCTACGACGGCTCCGTGCTCGCCTCCTGGGGCCACGTCATCGCCCTCACCTTCAACTACCGCCTCGGCATCCTGGGTGAGTACAGTACAGTCCACTGGCCAGCGCGCGCCGTTACGTCTTATGCATGCGCAGCGTCGAGGAGCTCCACGCTACCCGCCCGACCTTTCCGGTGCGTCTCTCCAGCCTCTCCTCTTCCGCGCTCCAGCTCCTCCTCCTCCTCCTCCTCCTCCTCCTCCTCCTCCTCCGTCGCGCTCAAGCCCCAGCGAGTGGAGGAAACCACACCCAGAAAAATCGTTTCATGTTTCTAGTAAATTTTTTCCTCGTTTCAACTGCACGCTGACACGAGATCAAATTTACTCTTGAATCAAGCTGATATTTTCTGTCGAGTAGGAGAAAAATGAAAAATCTCCATTCCAAAGACAATATTGCCTTGTTTCAGTGGTGAATTTGTTCGTGTGACAGCGTGCACTTGAATCAAAAAACTATTTTTCTGGGTGTAGTGTGTGAGGCCCGCCGTCCGGCCACTGGTCGGCGGCGCGGCGACTCCGACTCTACAGTCAGGAACCGTAAAGTGCATCTGGATATGGCCACGCCCCGCCACGTCAAGCGACCCACAGCAGTCGGGGGCGCCTCCGCCGCCGCCGGCTGGATCGGAGCCATTTATTGTTTTCAAGCCAACTTTGAACCAGCCCCAGCCACACTCGGATGTTAATTACTTAAAAACAAGTTGGTCAGTAATTAGCTCCATTTTCGAGTCGGCCAAGCAGCAGCAGCTGCAGCAGTAGCGGCAGTGGCGGCAGTGGCGGCACCAGCGCGGCCCCAAGCCAGAGCGAATATAATAATAATAATTTGTGACAAAACACGACACTGTAAGAAGTAAGAGTTTTGAGTCGTGGGGCACACGCCGCCACCTCTCTGTAGGGCGAGCCGGCTCGACCACTCGCCTGGACTAATTCTTCTCACGAAACCGTCGCACCAAACTCACTCATTTCTCATCCTCCTCCTCCTCCTCCTCCTGTCCCTCCCCCCCTTTCTCTGCAGCTGCCGCTACCGTTTGCCGGAGTCGACTTTCTTATTTTGTTTCTCTCTGTGAATGCTCAACTTAATGAAAACAGCACAGCCCCCTACACATATTTTGTCGTGAGCCCCGACAGTTGTTTTCCATTCTTCCAGAATTATTTGGTAAAAGAACAAACTTTTTGGGCTCCGTCAGGGACGTGCATGTGCGTCCGAATTTCGCGCGCTTCTTGGACACAATAGTCGTGCGTTGTTACATATTTAATGTTTTTCTCGGCAGTGTAGCCAGCCCGAGGCCCTCTCTCCCTCTCGATTGATTGGAACTCTTGTTGGCATAGAGGGCCGCCCTTCGCCTCAGCAGAACGATAATGTCAGCCGATGGTGTTTGAGAGTGCTCCCGGCCCTCCCGCCCCTGCTCCCACCGCCGCCGCCCCCACACCGTGCCCTGACCAGCAGCCTGCTTTGCGTTTCCACTCGCGAACATGAAAAACAAAGTCTGGAGGAAATTATGTGGTTTTGCTTACGTTATTTTCGATTTCGTTTGTCTCAGGTTTCTTGCGGACTCGGCTGGGCAGCCAGGACCTGGACTTTGGCACGGGCGACATCCTGATGCTGCTGCGCTGGGTGCAGGACAACGCGGCAGCCTTCGGTGGCGACCCGAAGCGCGTCACCATCCTGGGCCACGACACGGGGGCGGCGCTGGCCAGCATACTCCTGCTCAGCCCGTTGTCGAAAGGTTTGTTCCCTGCAACAGTCAAATAATTCGAGAGCATGATCGTACCTTCTGAGTTTTCCGGTCGCTGGTCCACAAGTGATATTAGCTAAATCAAAGAAATAGGTTGCCTGCAGACGACCAACGACTACAATGGTCGCAAAAGTTTTATAAATTAAGACCCACTCAGAGAACGTATATTTGACTCTACGTACAAATGATCTCCCGTCCTTAGTTTAAAGGGAATTCCCTTTGTATTAACTGAATTCAGCTCTACATGAACGTCGAAATTTCCTTTGGAACAGTGGAAGCACTTTTTGATACCAAAATCAAAGGTACGCTTTTCTGGGTGCACCACACGAGAAAGGTCTGTAGTCAGAGTAGAATACCATGAAATGGCGGTGAAACTACAGTTACTCTAGAGCGCTCGGTACGTCGCTCGCGCCGTGGACCCACAGCTCAGAGCTCCCCAATGACAGACAAGAACATTATTCTGGGCGGATCAATGCATACACCCGGCCGTGTCGCAGCGTGTAGTAGTAGCGCTACCGGGTCACAGAGAGAGGGGGGGGGGTAGAGATCCCATTTGCATAACGGCCTCGTATTTCAATCCTTCGGCTGCTGCGGGGTTCCACTAGACACGTTCCTGATGAAATTACCACCATCCTCTCCGGAGGGGCGGGAGGAGTGGGGGTCGTGTAGCACAGCTGAGTTGTTAGTACCTCCGCCATTTCACAAGTATAGCGCAGCGCACCAAACTTTTGATCTACGACTCTCTGTCTCCCTCCGGCCCGCTGTGGGACGCGCGTCCCGCACAAACAAGTGCTGGAGGTTGTCGCGGGTTCAACAACCCGCTCGGCCGACACGTACCTCCAACCCCTCGCCTCCTCGCCGTGCATTTTTTTCCCTTGAAAAATCCATTCGTTATATTTCTCCCGTTGGGATCATAACGGATCGTGAGCACCCGCGGTGGTGGAGGCGTTCTACGCGCCCCCCTGGCCGGGGCGTTCCCAGCGGGTGTTCCACTCGCACGCACGCCACAGCTGTTAGCGCACGCCCCGCCCCGGGGGGCAGGACGAGGAGGACAGCCCGGCCGTTATGATACGCGGCGCGGGCTACGCACGGAGCGTAGTGAAATGGAGGGCGAGGGGAGGGGAGGGGCGCCGTTCAGGGAGGGGAGGGCTTCTTATCGCTCCTTTAACAACTCTCGCTCGACTGCCCTCCCTTCGCCCCCCCCTCCTCTCCCCGTATGTACCCCGCCCCTCACCCTTGTACACGTCCACACTCTAAATCAGGGATTTCACGGTCAATCCAGCGGGCGCTGAGCGCGGCCGCGTCGCATATCCAGAGAGAGGGGGGGGGGGGGACGTTGGGGTCTCGGGTCATTGCGCCTCGCAGTGTCTTCATCAAAAGGGTGGATGCACTTTCGGTATATTTCATACTTTTGTGCACCATTGCTGCAATAATATCCATCTCGAATTGATTTTTATTGCGGCCGTGCTTATGTCTGTGTGTGTGTATAGTAAAAAACTGTCATATACGTGTGATAAAACGGGTAAAACTTTTTAATCCCTTGCATAAATAATACCCTTCTTCCAAGTGTATTACTTTTTATTGGATATCCAGCAAATTAGGTGGAGTTATCCTTACGGATAGAGGTGTTTTACGGTACACGGTACACTCAGAAAGTAGTTCTTGAAATATGACAAGATTTCTTGTTCTGAGAATATTTTGGCCTTGGATGTTGCACATTATCCATAAGACGGTGCTGAAATAATTGCATATACTTGCGTACTTGATGCTATTCATTTTAGACACATGATGTGTATGACAAGGTAGTTTGCCCCATACATAGAAATCACGAAGAACAAGAGATCTGTATTTTTGTCCAGAGTCTGCAGTCGGCGGCTGCACGCGGCCCGGTCCTCTAGATTGGCTGCACGCTGATGGCGAAAGTTTGCCGTCGCGTAGCCTTAAAATCGATTGTCTCGAAGGCGGGAGGGGTCGGGGCGGGGGTAGGGAGAGTGCCTCAAGGGCGGGTTCGCTGGTGGGGCCATGCGGAGCCCCAAGGAGAAGAGGGGAGGGGCGAAAATAAGTCCTGGCCTAAGATCATTCTGGCGTGTGTTTTGCATTGGAAATATGCAATAGGTGCGAGGGGTGGCTGGGACTGCGAGGGGAGGGCAGGGTGCTGGGTCTCTTAGGTCCGCCTGGTTGTCAAACTGGGGGAGCGGCCGGTGGGATGGCGGGGGAGAGGATGGAGGCCGTCGCAGTAGAGGCGACAAAAACTTTCCTCATTCCGTCAAGACTTTTGTGTGTTAATTCTATTTGTCTTTTCTTCCTACCGGTCATTCCCTTGGAAATAATTAGTCCTTTCCCCTGAAGCCCGGCTAGCTGGCTAGCTGCTAGGCCTGCCGCGCGCGCGTGCGCCACGCCACCCTTGGAGCCGCGTGGGGCGGGGGTGGGACTGAAAGGGAAAAAAAGGGGAGAGGTAAAAGAGCTTCTCAACGAAACCGACATTTCTTTGATGTCGTTGCACTCACGGCGAGGTATAAAGAGAGAACGTTCCAACGTGAGCGCATTCGACGGTCCTCGGATTTTAATGAGAACAACTACACAGTCGACTCGTGTCCTTAAAGGAGGATTGAAGGGTTCTGATGATTCTATATATGATAGAATGTCTACCCTAATACGTCTGCCTTGCCCTCTCTCCTCGGGACCCGTCAGAAGGGTCCGGCCGGGCGGGTTGGTTTTGGTGGTGGTGGTATGGCTTTCCTGCGTGCGGTGGCCAAAACACACACACGCAGGCACACGCGCGCGCGCCCGCACGCACATCCACGCCGGGGCGGGGCTGCCTCTCGGCTTGCGCGAGGCTGAAACACAAAACCCTTTGGTATACAAAGTGTTAGAGCCCGAATGTGCATATGTTTGTCGACCAGAGAGCTTTCGGAGCTTTCATCTCTCCTAATCTCGCCCTGCTGGCGTCGTGGAGTGTGGATTACACCGGGGGGGG